AAAAAAAAAAAAAAAAAAATACAAGTATTAGCTGGGCGTGGTGGTGTGTGCCTAATCCCAGCTGCTTGGAAGGCTGAAGTAGGAGAATCGCTTGAACCAGGGAGTCAGAGGTTGCAGTGAGCCGAGATTGCACCACTGCACTCCAGCCTGGCAACAGAGTGAGTTTCTGTCTCTAATAATAATAATAATAAATAAATAAATAATGGGTATGTTCCCTGTGGGTCCTTGGAAACTGTGCCTATGGCATGGTGCAGAAGGTACTGGCTCCTAGGAGCATGTGCCTTCTAAGCTAAGGTAGCCACTTGACACCACAAATGTGAATTCTGCTCCTTGTGCCTGAGCTGTCCTGGGCAGAAGGGCTCTGTGGATGCTAACTGGACAGTGGCTGTATGCTAAGAGGAATGTGTGATGCTGCCCATCTGGCAAGTTATTTCTGAGTAGACTGATGGCCACATGTATGGTGATCTTCTGAGTCTGAATGCTTAATGGAACCTAGTGGTCATTGAGTGTACTTACTAGTTTTTTTTGTTTTGTTTTGTTTTTTGGTTTTTTTGAGATGGAGTCTCTCTCTGTTGCCAGGCTGGAGTGCAACCGGCTCACTGCAGCCTCTGCCTCCTGGGTTCAATTCTCGTGCCTCCCAAGTAGCTGGGACTACAGGCACATGCCACCACATTCAGCTAATTTTTGCATTTTTAGTAGAGTTGGGGTTTCACCATGTTGGCAAGGATGGTCTCGATCTCTTGACCTCGTGATCCACCTGCCTCAGCGTCCCAAAGTGCTAGAATTACAGGCATGAGCCATCGCACCCAGCTTGCACTTACTAGTTTTTTGTTGTTAAAATAATCATTTTGGCTGGGTGAGGTGGCTCACGCCCAGGACTTTGGGAGGCCGAGGTGGGAGAGTTGCTTAAGCCCAGGAGATCAAGGCTGTAGTGAGTGGTGATGCATTCCAGCCTGGGTGACAGAGTGAAACCCTGTCTCAAAAAAAAAAAAAAAAATTGTGAAATTATGGTTATATTATATATAGATAGTTTTATTGAATTTCCTTACCTGGTAAATGAAAATGTTGGCAATCCTGAGTTGGTACCCAACTTTTGGTTTTTGTTTGTGAAGTATTGCTGGCTGACTGGTTTGTGAAATGAAGTGCCTGAAAACCATTCTTTTTTTTTGAGACGGAGTTTGGCTCTTGTTGCCCAGGCTGGAGTACAATGGTGCGATCTTGGCCCACCGCAACCTCCGCCTCCTGGGTTTAAGCAATTCTCCTGCCTCAGCCTTCTGTGTAGCCACCACGCCCAGCTAATTTTGTATTTTTAGTAGAGACGGGGTTTCTCCATGTTGATCAGGCTGGTGTCAAACTCCTGACCTCAGGGCATTCGCCTGCCTCAGCCCCCCAAAGTGCTGGGAATACAGGTGTGAGCCACTGCACCTGGCCTGGAAACCATTCTTATTCTGGATTTGAATCTTAACATAGGCTCAGATTATAAAATTGTAGTGTTAGCAAGAGCATAGTGAAGTAATATTGTATACTACTGGAAGAGGTACTGATTTTCTAGACAGCAATTTGATAGTATATTCATAAAAATCTCCGTAAATATATAAAGAATTCCTACAATTCAATGTAAAGAAAGTACCAGCAAAAGAAGATATTTAAATGTTCAATAAATGTATTAAAATTAAAAGGGCGTTAACTTTGTCAGTCATCAGGGAAATACAAATTAAAACTACAGTGTGATACCACTGCTTTACCACTAGCATCACTAAAATGCAAAAATGATGGAAAATGCCAAGAGTTGGCAGGATGTGGAACACCTGCAGCACCCATACTTAGTTGGTGGGAGTATAAATCAGTACAACCACCTTGGCAAACTTTTGGGCAGTATCTATTAAACTTGAACACACAGCTTTCTGTACTACCATAATGGTGCACATGAATGTCCTGGCTGCATCAGCAATGCTGAAAAGACTGCTTCAGAGTCATTGTCCAGTCTCTAATTGATGATGAAGGATGGTTACATTGGTGAATTTGAAATCACTGATGATCACAAGGCTATGAACCTCTTCGGCAGTATAACAAGTATGGAGTGATCAGCCCCAGATTTGATGTGCAACTCAAAGATCTAGAAAAATGGCAGAACAGTCTGATCCCATCCAGCCAGCTTTTAAAAATAAT